CTGGTTATTTTATGTTGATCTTTGAAAAGTAGTCGACTATTCCATTAATATTCTTCCTTTTCTGATTATTTATTTCTCGAATTCATGTGTCCTGAAGCTTTTCAGGCCGAGCTTCTTTTAACAACTAAGGCTGAATTAAGGCTCTCAGATCAGGAAGGTCAGAGAAAGAGAGGGCAGGTAAAAAAAAAAAAAGAATAAAGCCGGTTTTACAGATAGGTAAGCTGGTTTACAAATAGGTTCACTTACACACATTGAAAGCAGCTCCTGTAGCCTTTCTGAAGAATCTTTTTTCAAGAATTTAAGTGTATTTGCTTTGGGCAACTTTTTTTGTTTGTTTGTGGTACCTTGAGCCACTCCACCAGCCCTTTTTTTGTGAAGGGTTTTTCGACATAGGGTCTCTTGAACTGTTTGCCTGGGCTGGCTTCAAACCTTGATCCTCCTGATCTCTGCCTCCTCAGTAGCTAGGATTATAGACATGAGCCACGGCACTCAGCTTCGGCAACTTTTCAACTATCATTATTTTGGCATTTCATGCTTGCCTCTTTTGTAGGGGAGTGAGTTGTGAAGGAGGAATTTAACCTTTAAAATTTACAGTTACAATATCTAAGTGTAGAAGCAGAAGAAAATACAAGTAAGCAAGAAAAATCCTGTCAACTGAAACATGATGGCTGTGCAACTCTGTAAACTTACTAAAACGCCTGAATCATGTACTTAAAATGGGTGTTTATGATATATAAATGAAAACTCTATACACTCTTAACGTGCTCCATTTCTGCTCCAGCTGATGTGTGTATATAAGTGAGGGCCACCTTCAAACACAGCTTTGTGATTACCTTTTTACTCTGTTTCTTCATTTCTTGTCACTGGTTTTCAGGTCCTTTCAGAGTCTACAATATTATTTTTAATGTTGACTTTTAAAAATTTTTTAATTTAAGTAATCTATTCCCTAACATCTTCTCAGCTAACTTTTAGAGCAAATTTATTTAATGCAATTACTAGAGTTATTGCTGGATCAAAAAATATGCTCATTTTGCTGGGCACTGGTGGCTCACGCCTCTAATCCCAGCTACTCAGGAGGCAGAGATCAGGAGGATCTATGTTCAAAGCCAGCCTGGACAAAAAAAGCTCATGAGACCCTATCTCGAAAAATCCTTCACAAAAATAGAGCTGGTGGAGTGGCTTAGGGTGATGGCCCTGTGTTCAAACCCCAGCACCACACACAGAACAAAACTAAACTATGCTCATTTTAACGCTTTTCCTACTTATAAATTGTTCTGTAGAAAAGCCGTGGTAATTTTTACTCCTACAAGTAGTCTTTTTGTCTCTGCTTTTTTTTTCATTCAAACTCAGTATTAGCTTTCTATAAAATGTTTATCATTTTGACCGATGATAAAAGTAGTTTGCCATTAATTTCCATTTTAGTTTACTAATTAGGTTGGCCTTTTTGGTCGATTGCTGGACACTTGTATTTCAGGTAATGTTCCGGTCCCAAATATGCAGATCCTTATGTTTCTTATTCCTATGTGACGCCTATAGGGACAAATAACCCTTTGCCAAATACATTGCCAGTATTCCGTCCCCCATTCGTCTGTCTTATTTGTTGTTGGGTTTTTAGAAGGAAGCTTCACTTTCTTTTCATTTTTTTGTGGTACTGGTGAACTCAGGGCCCACACCTTGAGCCCCTCCCACCCCTTTCTTGTGATGTGTCTGTTCTGAGATAGGGTTTCACGAACTATTTTCCTGAGCAAATAGAATCTGGATTAGTCTTTTTTTTTTTTTTCTTCTAACGGCAGCACTGGGTCTTAAATTCAGAGCCTCGTGCTTGCTAAGCAGGTGCTCTTACCACTTGAGCCACTCCATCAGTAGGATGCTTCAAATTTTATCCATCCATCTTTTGCTTATAGGTAGCAGCTTTTGTACCATTCTTTTTTTTTTTTTTTTGGCACTACTTGAGTTTGGACTCACAGCCTCATGCTTACAGGCAGGTAGGTGCTCTACCACTTGAGCCACAACTGCAGCGCTTTTGGTACTCTTCTTGATGAGGCTTTGCCCACTCCCAGCATTTCTTTTATTAGCTTTCTATTTTCTTTTTTGGTGGTGCTGGGGTTTGAATCAGCGTCTTGCATTTGCTAGCCAGGCACTCTACCCAGTTGACCCATGCCTCCAGTCCTTTTTTGCTTTAGTTTTCAGGTCTTACACTTTTTGCTTAAAGCCTTGGATGACAATACTCCTACCTAAGCTTCCCATGAACTGTGACTGTAGATATGTACCACCATGCCTGGCTTGTTTGTTGAGATGGGGTCTCCTTAATATTTTGGCAGGCTGGCCTTGAACCATGATCCTCCCAATCTCCATTTCCCAAGAAGCTGGGATGGCTCACATCTTGTCTATTTTCCTTCTTTACAATTATCTTTATTTTATTTTGAATATATGATATAGGGCAAGAGCCTAAACTGGTGGACATGAATGGGGGAACAAAGTAAATTTTCACCTTATTTATTGTGTATCTGCTGAAGTATCAAAACTGTGTTATATACCTACTTTATAGCAATGAACACAACTGGAGTAGTGCTTATGCAACTTAACAACTGAGAGAGAAACAGGTATTGTACAAGTGCAGATCTATGAATCTATGAAGATGTGTTAGGAGTGCAATGGTAGAGCACAGCAGTTAGTTAGATCTACCCCATTTTTCCGGTACCTATGGAATAGTTGATCACTTAGGAAGAGCTATTTTGGTTGGCATGGAGAATTCAGTTGAGCAACATCACTATTATCTCAGTATCTGTGAGTCAAAACCTGGGTGTGGCTTAGCTGGGTCCCCTTGCTCAGGGTCTGTCACAAGTGCGCCAGGGCTGGTCTCATCTGCGCGCTTGCAGGCAGAATGATTACCTTCTACACTGCTCACATGGTTGTCGGCAGGATTCAGTTCCTTACAGGCTGGGGAACCAAAGTCTTCAGCTAAGAACTCAGTTTCTCAGTTTGTTTATTGACTGGAACCCTCCAAATCCTTGAATTGTTTTGTCCCAGGGTGGGTACTTAAACTTTGATAAACTGATTTATAAGGAGTATCTTTATGGAATAAAAATCAGCACACTATGCATATTCTTAGTTTTATGTTCAGCAATAAAATGTATGCACACTGAGAATATCCTAGTTGATACACATTTCTGGCCTTTATGTAAATACATGGGGGAATTAAGCATTCACAAAGAATTAATGTCATATTGCACAGATATTGCAGATAAGCATGATTATGCACAGGATAGAAATGTCAGGAAAAGTTTAGAGCAGGTTAGTGTTAAGATAATGTATGGCCTCGAGCTTCTTTTCAACCACATTGTGGTTATAGCTTCAAATTCCTTTTTATTCCCTCCTTTCCTTCCAGTCATATCATTACATTGTGAGATAAATTTCCCTGGACTTGTACAATGTGACAGGCCTGAACTCAGACATACAAGTATGTATATATACAATTCTTATTATCAGATCTTTTTGATCTGATACTGACAGTGCTATAGGCTTTATTTTAATAGGAAATGTAACTTCTAAGTAATATTTAATTTTTGGGTAAATATCTAATAAAATTCCAATGCTAGAATGTGTGTGTCTTCTTATACTTTTAAGTGAAAGCCCTAGCTTAGTGCATGTACTTTCAACGGGCAATGTTCCCTCCAAGAGGGCAGAAATTGGTTCTTGGATGTATGAAAAACTTTTGCTACTTACTCCAAAGCACAGATGTACACAGAGTACATAAATATCTATACAGTATATCTGTGTATCTGTGTGCTAAATTTCACCTGGAGAAGAATGAGTAAGAAAAGAGGTCGCAAAAGGTTCCTTAGGGTTTTGATAAGCAAAAAAGTTGAGAAACACTGCCCCAATCTTTTTTTTTTTTTTTTGTATTTTTTATGGTACTGGGGTTTGAACTGAGGCAGAGAGATAACAGGGTTTTGATTTCTGGCTCTACTCTTTGCAAACTTTAGAAAAGAAGGGGAAGGGTACAGGGAAGGAACAGGGGCATTTCTAATAGCCCCACGTACACCCTACATTTTAGGCATGTTCAACTGCCACTTCCCCAAACAGGCTGTGGCTTAAATACATCATCTTCTTTCCTACTTCTATGTACGTTCAAACTCTTTCTTCCCAGAACTTTACTTTTCCTCAAATGCTCAGCTCTGGCCACACCTTCCCTAGCAAATCCTTCGTGACAGTGTTGTCTGCCTGTGACACTGACTTGGATGTCTAGCTTCATGTTTCTCTAACATTCAGATCATACTTCTACTGTAATACTTATCATTATGATGTAATAATGGTTTACCTGTCTGTGTCACTAGCCTGAACATCTTGAAAATTGAAATGGTTTCATTTTTTTGTACTCTGGTTTGAACTCAGGGCCTTGTGCTGGCTAGGCAGCCTCTGTATCCCTTGAGCCACATACCCAGCCCTCACTTATCTTTTTTTTTGGTGGGGGCAGTACTGGCATTTGAACTCAGGGCCTCATGCTTGCTGGGTACCACTTGAGGCACTGCCAGCCCTTTTGAGTTTTTTTTGTTTTTTGGTGGGACTGAGGTTTGAACTTAAGGCTTTATGCTTGTAAAGTGGGCACTCCACTGCTTGAGCTATACCTCAGTTTATCTCTGGCTATCTTGGAGATGGGGTCTGGCCAACCATTTGCCCAGGCTGGACTTGAACCTTGATCTTCCTGATCTCAGTCTCCCAGTTAGCTAGGAGTAAAGGAGTGAGCTGCCTGGGCCAGCCTGGACTGCAATCCTATTTATGCTTCCCATGTTGCTAGGATGACAAGCATGCACCTGGGCTGGCTTTGAACTGCGGTTCTCATGATCTCTGTCTCCCAAGTAGCTAGGATTATAGGTTTAAGTCACCTCACAGGGCTCTTATCTTTTTTTTTTTTTTTTTTTGGTGGTACTGGGGTATCACCTGAATTACCTTGTCAGCTCTTATTTCTCCTCTTAATCTAAGCATCTATCACAGTGCCTGACATGATGCTGGTGAGCAGCTGACTTGTTAATTAGCTAATAAAAAATACAGGCATACAAGAAGAGCTCAGAAGCATTTGTGACAATTGACAAATAAGTAATGCTTGGAACACTTCAAAGGGTTACTACTTTAAAATTAGCTGGATAGCCATTTTGGTATTGTGCATTTTGTTTATCCAATAGTGATAATGTGAGACCTTATGTTAACTCAGTTGCTACAGTCTAGTGAAGAAAATCAGTGGACTACAGCAGTATTCCTGTTTTGTTATTGAGATGAGAAAAAGGTTTATGAAGAGGTTAAATAATATGCCTAAGGTCACATAATAGGCTTTCTAGTTCTGGAGCCTATAGTGCCAACTAGCACACTAGGACGAGTACAAGGCCAGCCTGGGCTACATAAAGTCTCTGCATAAAACCCCTTCCCCCCAAAAAAGTTAGCTGAATAAGGGGATGGAAATGTAGTTCAGTCACAGAGTGCCTGCTTAGTATGTACAAGGCCCTGGGTTTAGTCTTCAGTACTCAAAAGAAAAACAGAAAGAAAAATTTAGCTTATTTAGAACGTTGACTTTTGCACAATACCTGTCTTGTCTGACCCTCTCTTTAGGCAACCTCCCACACAGACTTAGAAGACAACAAAGTTTCATAGCTTAAACATGCAGCTTGTTATGGTTTATAAAAAATGTGTCCACTCATACCATGTTTTGCTTTATGTAAACAAACATATCAGTCAATAACTCTGGTATAATTCTTTGGGACTATTCCATTTTAATTATTGTATTGCCCTTTCAAACTTCCATAATATGGGAATTGTGTTCAGTGTTTTAGCATTTGTGTCAAACCCTGTATCTAACATGTTAAATGACCTTTCCATAAAAGCAACACATGAAGCAGCTCATAAAAAGTTCTGGATGCAAAGTCACACATCACAAGCCTCCCATTATTCCTTCCCTGATCATGACTGTGAGGGTACAGCTGGAAACACGGAACTGAAAAACTGGTTCTCCACCACGTTGCGAAATGTAAGGAGTGGCTAGGCCATGATGATGCTGATGATGGTGATGGTGGGGATTCAACCCAGCACTGGGCACCTGTAGGCAAGTGCTCCACCAGCATTACTTCCCCAGCCCTACTGTGCCTTTTAAATCATGGAATTGTTTCCAACCAAACATTCCAAAAGAACCAAAAAACCAAGAGAGAAGCAAAAAAGGATAAAAAGATAAAAGACAAACTTTTTCATTTCTGAAAGCTGTGGGATTGTGTGGACACATCCAGGGCTGCTGCTTCTGTGTTCTCTGTTACTCCAGTCTTCAGGGTCTGCTGTGGTCCTTTTTCCTTCTTCCCAAGTTGCACAGAATCATTTGCATCCAATCTACCTGAATTCCAACGTCAATCCTCCCTGGCATCACTGGAGACATGGGAGGTGAGACAGACTTTAGATAAGGACGGTGGGCAGGATACAGACATTCACACCCTTCTCCACACTCTCTTCAGGTTTTCATGGAGACCTAGAAGAATCAGCACTCGAGAACATCAGTGTTGATCTGTTGGTAAGACTCGACATACTTTGAGGAAAGAAGACAACACATTTGTATTGGTTTATAGCTGTAGGTTTATCTCCCCTATATTAGCAGAAGCTTGGATGTTTGTCAAGAATGGGATGACTCAGATGACTCACGTTCTAGGCATCAAGAGGCAGACTTGGAACGACTTGAAAAAAACAGTAGTTTTGAGCCCATACATTAGTTGGGGGGAAGGGGAAAGAGTGGGTGGGAAGGTCAGGCAGGAGGAAGAGTGGTAAAGTGTGAGGGCATGAGAAATCAAGCATGTCATGCTTTCTCAGAATACCCTAGTCTAGTGGCTTCTGTCTCCTTTGAACTCATTTAGCACTTAGGTCTGTTCCATTCTTCTTGGCTAATGATATCATCTCTTCAACTGTAAAATTATTTTATGATTTTTGTCTCTTTCCCTAAAATAAATTATGATCTCTTAGATGGTAGGATCTTTCTTTTTATCTCTCTAGTGCTTAGGAAGGTGTTTTATACTGAGTAGGCACTAATAAATGACTATTGGTTGAACTGATTGAATACTAATAATTGATTTGACCAAAAAATTATGACTATGTATTTTAGGTTTTCATTAAAAATGCTAAGATTGGGGCTGGAAGTGTGGCTCAAGCAGCATAGCACCTGCCCAACAAATGTGAAGTTCTGAGTTCAAATCCCATATCACAAAAAAATCTAAGATTATATAGAAAAGCAGGACTTTGTGAGTAAAGGATAACACATCTATGTATTCAGATTTAACCTATTTATTTTTTATTTACTTATTTTTGAAGTTTTAGCAAGGATTTATTTTGGTACAACAGGATAAAGTAGGGAGAAGTGGGGGTGGGGGAGACAGGGAAAGAGAAAGGGGGGAGTGAGAGACAGAGAGAGAGACAGAGTGATACATTTTCTGTCCCCATGCAGGGAATGGGAACAAAGACTATTTCTAATTTATTATATGTCAATCTGGAGAGCGGTGGGGTTGATAGCAGTTACTCCATTATAATAAACAAAAACACACATTTTAGAACATTAAGATCTCACTACAATTACTGAGAACTGTACAAAAAAGTAGACTTGAACTCTGAAAACCTGGATTTGAATCAAGGATTTGTGACCTTGTACCCTTCAGTAAATTACTTTTCATCTATGAGCCTTTTTTCTCATCTTTAAAATAAAGGTAAGAATTCCAACTTTGCAAAATCATAAAGAATAAATCTAAAATTGCAAGCCAGGTGTTGTGGTGCAAGCCTGCAATCCTAGCACTTGGGAGGCTGAAGCAGGAGGACAGTGAGTTCCAGGCCAGCCTGGGCTACATAGTGAGAACCTGTTCAAAAAAAGCATCATGGTTAGTAATATATTTGAAACTCAGTAATATGTTTGTAATTGTTTACCAATTCATTCATTCAAATACATCCCCAAAGCAACACAATAGAGACACACAGAATTGTTTCTTTTGTGAACTTTTGTTAGGAAACTACTTTTTGCTTCAAATGTAGGACAGATATATGCTTACTTTTTGGGCACAATTATTTGCTACTTTTTGTTATAGTATAAGGCACACATTTAAGGTCAATTATGGGAAACACAGACACGATCTTTTATGTATTTGTCTAACTGCACGAGAGTATGGATGCTACTTCTAGGTCCATCATTATCTACCTCACACTGTAGATGGTTATTTTACCAACTCTCAGGATCAGGTCAGGCATGGTGGCACATGCCTGTAAGAGGGGGACCATAATTTGAGACAGAGACTAGCTGGAGCACAAGTTAGCAAGACCCCATCTCAACAAAAAAGTTGGTTGTGGTGGTGTACACCTGTCACCCAAGGTATGTGGGAGGTATGGACAGGATTGCAGCTGGAGGCCGGCTCCCAGCAAAAGACCCTGTCTGAAAAATAATCTAAAAGCAAAGAGGGCAGGGGATGAGGCATGGCTTAAGTGGTAAAGTGTCTGCTTAGTGTGAGGCTCTAAGTTCAAAACCCCCCAAAACACTCAGGCTCAATAATAAAGTCTATCGACCCAATATTTTGGAAGATAAGGTAGAGGACATTTTAAAAGGCTGCAGTCAGAAATTTGGGTTCTACTATTGATTATTATGTCACTTTCTCTACTCAAGGGTTTATTTTGTTTTGGAGACAAGGTCTTACTACGTAGCTCAGCTGGCTTCCAATTCACCATCTGGCCCAGGCTGGCCTCAAACTCATGATCCTCCTGCCTCCACATGCTGGGACTACAGAGTGGGCCTCCATGCCTGACTTCTACCAGACCTATAGTGAGGCAGATGACCTTAGTTTCCCATTCTCTTATTATTATTATTATGGTGAGATAAAATGTGCCTCAACAATGGTGTAACACTTAATAGGTGTTTATTACAAAATCTGAAATACATAGATATTTTTAAGGAAATACAAAGTACTCAATTAGCTTATCAGTCTCTGTGTTTTTTTCATAAATTTACTTGTAAATTAAAATTTGACATTTTCACCTCCTGTGGTGGTTAAACACAGGAACACATTAAAAAAACAAAAACCCTATAAAGGGTGCCTTGAAACAAATTTTATAATTAGATTGACAGCAAGCAGTTTCTTTCTTTTGGGTTTTGGGGAGTCTCATACAAAAATTTTTAGTGGAGTGTTCCACAGGGTGACCAAACTATCCCAGTTCACCTGGGACTTCTGTTTTAGCACTGAAAACATGTCCCAGGAAATCTGGAATCTGACACAACTGCTATGGTAGTCACTCCAGTACCTGCCATTACTGTGGGCTTTTCCATAGTACACAGCTCTATTATCTGTGTGGAATTTTTCGAAAAATTCCAGTGCTATTTCAATTTTACTTCTCAGAAGAGCACTTGCATATTCTTCCTCTTGGCACTTAGTTCATAACCATTTGAGCATATACATATTTATGGAGATTTCTCCACGAGTAGATATTTGATAAATATATGTATGCATGTATACACATACATTATATATATTAGATAATATAGAATTTTTTTTGGCAGTACTGGGATTTGAACTCAGGGCCTCACACTTGCTAGGCAGGTACTTTAGCTCTTAAACCATGTCACCAATCTTTTTTGCTTTGGTTATTTCTGAGATAGAGTTTTGCTTCATACCTGGCCAGCCTGGACTGTGATCCTCCTGAAACCAGAGTTCTAGACCCAAGGCCCAAATGCCAGGTTGGGCCACCACCCTGGGTTCCACATGCCAGGTCTGGTCACCCATCCCTAAACGCCAAATAGAAGCATTAATGGTGAAGGCAGAGAAAGGAGATTTATTACATGGCTTGGGACATGCCATGGGAAGAGGGAGAGTAAGCACTCAGTTAATCCATCTTCGGGATACTAGGTTTAAACAGACAAAGACTTAGGGGCAGGGGACAAAAGGTATGCATAACTAAACAGTTAAGTCACAGGTGAGGTCTGGTTGGTCATTATCTCAGTCCTTGTTCTGGGAGAGGTTCTGGAGTTGTTATCTGGAACCAGACAGGTGGTCCTTCCAAAGGAAGGTCTACTGTTGGGTGTAGTTTCTGTCCCTTGCCATGAAGACGTTATCTATCTTTCTTGGAATCTAAGGTGATTACAAAGTGACAGTAATGAGAATGGCTTAGAGCAAAGACAGGTACAAAATGGAGGCAGAGATGCCAAGCTTCTCCTGTTTTTACTTAATTTGTGTGCCCAAGTAAGGAGTCAGTGCTTTTCAGCAAGAGCAATTTGAGTGCTTCTTACACTCCTATTTGTGCTTCTCCTCATAAGTGGGGTGACAAGTGCACACCACCATACTCAGCCATTGGTTGAGATGGGGGCCTCCTGATTCTGAACTGTTTGCTGTGCTGGCCTCAAACTACAATGTTTGAGACACCTCACCCAATCTTTTTTTTTTTTTTTTTTTTGAGACAGGATTTTACATTGCTGGCTTTAAGCTCATGACACACCTCCACCTCCCATGTACCACAGACATGCACAACCATGCCTGGCTCTTTTTGAGATGAGGTCTTGCTTTGTTGCCCAAGCTGGCCTCAAAATCCTGGGCTCAAGTGATCAGCCCACGGCAGCCTCCTGGGTTAACAGGAGTGTGCCTCAGTGCTTGACTACTCAGTGCTTCTTAACCTTATGACAATACTGAATTACCAACGATTCTCTCCGTGCCAGGAAGTGGCAGTGTGTCTATTTCCTGTTACAAGGGCCTTGTGCTGTTGTTTACAGACTATTGTACTTCTACCCTGTAATCACCATACCTGAGAAAACAACAAGGCAATCCTGTAAGAGCAAGTCATTTATAAACCAAACCAAAACAAACAACAATGTATGTGGAGCATCCCTTGGCCAATTTGGGGCCAGAGAGAAGTTGTCCTACTGGTTTCCCTTAAATAGCACTATAAGCTAATCTAAATCTAAGATAGTTTCCAAAATATGAATGGAATGAAGGTTGCTGAGAATCTGGTTCTCAAGGTTTGTCTGTGAGTAGGAGACCCAAAAAATGCAGAAGCACTCTGGTCCTGCTCACGATATTAATTTAGAAGATTCATGAGATCGTGGAAAGAGTTTCTGAGAAAAAAGCAGACAATCTTCTTTCCTATTAAACGCGGATGATACAGGCTGTGTACATGTAAATAAATCTGTGTAAAAGGTGGCTGCCTAGTGAGGCCCTCAGTTCAAACTCCAGTTACTGCCCCCCCAAAAAGTTATAAATCTAATTGGCTATAGTTTTTTCCACAAGGTGACTGATGACTTAAAAGTCTAATTTTGTGAGCTCTTGACTACATGCTAGGTACTGTGTCAAGTGCTTTAAATACATTATTTCACTGGATACAAGTAATTCTATGAGAAGGAGAATGATAATCCTTCAAAGAAAAACTCAGAGAGACTCAGTAATTTGCTCAAGATTACAGGTGGCAACTAGTGAGGAGAGGGAAAATTCAAACTCCCTTCAAGATCTGAACCTTCATCTCTATCCTAGGCTGCTTCTCAACACTCTTGACAGAAACTCTTATAAGTCCTACTTCTACCTGTTAGTTTTCCTTGACCTTTAGTCTTGTGCATTAGTATACAGAAGTGCCTGCTTAACAACTTTACCTTGCTGTGCAACAGGCATCCCAAACTTAACATATTTCAGGAAATGCATCCCCACCCCTAGTTGCTCATCCACAAATGTAGTTTAGGAGATTCTTGATTCCTCTATAAACCCAGTCAAGGCATTTGCTTTCAAATTACCTCTGAATCTGATCACTTGTTATCTCTACTGCCACAACCCTAGGGTTGTGGATTACTGACAGTCTCCCAACTGGTTCTGCTTTCATAGTCCCTTCCCTACAAAGCAAGTAGAGTTATCTTTCTTAAAAACACACATTGTATCATTTCTCAACATGTATCAGTCACATTGGTCCTGATGTTGTCAAATTTCCTTGTGACTTAAAGTCATCTGCTTTGAAAGGATTAGAAAGGGCAGAGTTGGAGGTCTAAGGAAACTGGCAAAGGTGTGAAAGAGCAGGTACAGTGGGAGAAGTCAGAAGTCCTGAGCAGGAGTGTTGGGTGGTGTTGAGGGTCAAGCTGTGCTTCCTGACTGAAATGAAGTAATAGAATATGCATGGCTACCAGGGAAAGGATATGGACAGCAAGAGTTCCTTCAAGATAGGGGTATTATGGGAAGAAAAATGGGGCAAAGGCATTTAGGGTCCCAACAAATGTTATTAGGCTTTTTTTTAACAGGCATAGAACAATGGGGATGTGTCTTGGGCTTGCCCCAGTGACAACAACCTAGATGATAAAAGCTTCGATTTGAGGCCAGCATGGTGGTAGAGGTTGTAATCCCAGCACTCAGGAAACTGAGGCAGGAGGATTATTAATTCAAGGTTAACCCAAATATTTGTTGGGACCCTGTCTCAAATCCAACCAACCAACCAAAAAGAACCCCCCCCACCAAGAAACAAATGGACAAATTAGTAGAGGCACACTTAAGTTTTCATTTTTCAAAATCAATTTCCAAAGGAATCTATGTTAAGCAGTAAGATTTATCGATAAATTAAGGATTCAGATTTTTAAAAGATTTTCAGTTTGGCCAATCCTTCAAATTATCTGAAGAGGGAGCTTTCTATACTTTTTTCCTTCACAACACTTTTCCAGCTCTCCTGTCCCATTTACAATAATTCATCCACTCTCTGAAAGACACAAAATGCCCTTTCTCACATGACTAAGTTGCCTATTGTTTTTCCATTTACTACCTTTGAATTTTTTTTTGGCAGTACTGGGGTTTGAACTCACAGCCTTGCACTTGCCAGGCAGTTGCTCTACCACCTGAATTTAAGCTCCTACACTTTTAACCACCTTGCATCATCTGTGCTTTTGCTTCTGTTGTTCTTCCAGGTTAGGTCATCTTCCCTCCCTTCTTTGCTGAACTCCTAGTCATCCATCGACCCTCAGCTCACAGCACACTTCCAGATTAAGACTCAAACAGTATCTTTTCAGCTACATTTGGTTTTTGTAGATATTTCTACTACTGCCTATACTGTGTTGTCATGTAATTAATGCATTTTATATACAATGTTGTACGGTACACTTTATGCATCATAAACTATCTTTACCATCCATGTTTTAGGGTACCCAACACCTGTAACAACACAAGTGTGTGGTCTTGGCCAAAACTTTTTTTTTTTTTTTTTCCCCGAGTTCTAGGGATTGGACCCAGGGGCAAGCATTCTCCCCTGAGCTACATCCCCAGCCCTCCTTTCTCTTTCTGAGCCACAGGTTCCTTAATGCAAACGGGAGCTAATCTCTGCTGGGTGCTGGTACCTCATTTCTGTAACTCTAGCTACGAGACAGGCTGAGATCAGGAGGATCGCTGTTCCGGGCAAATATCTGGTGAGACACCTTCCCTCCTCCATCTCCAAAATACCCAAATGGGGATGTGGTTCAAGTGACAGAGCACCTGCCTAGCAAGTGTGAAGGCCTGATGAGTTCAAGCCCAGTGCCACCAAAACAAAACAAAACAGAACAGAACAAAACAAGAGATCGCTAATATACCTAGGCCCTTAGGCAGTGCTCCAGTAAGGAAAACCATGGCCGCTGACACTGTTTAGGGCCCCAGTGGTGCTTGTAGAGCTGAGTTCAGGAAACGCCTCTTACGATGACGTCACCGTAAGACGAAAACCACTGCACGTCGGTGCGCGTGGACGGCGTCCCGCGAAATACCGATAGCGCCGTTCACCCGCCAGAGTTTACAGGCTCCGCGGTCAGTAGCTGGAGAAACAAATTTTAGCTCAGCAGCTGAGAGCTTCCTGCAGTTACCCTAGGGCGGGCGGGAAAGGCCTCCACCGCCGGGTTCCTACCGTCCCCGGGGACTACGAGAGTGGGCCGGACGCCTATGGCTTCCGGCAAAAGCCACCTCCGGGGCGGCCCGGGGGGGGCCCTCTCGCGGTGACCACGAGGCCGTCGCCCCTTGACGGGTCTCCACCGGCTCACAGGACCGCCGCGCTCACCACCAGGAAGGCGACTCCCGCTCCGCCGCGCTCCCCGCGCCCCGCAGGCCGGGCCGTGGGGTCTCCCCGCACTCCACGCAGGGGCAGCGGGGCGGGGCGCAGTGACGCACAGAGGAGTGACGCGACGACGCAGCGCGACGCGGTGACGCACGCCCCTTTGTTGGCTCAGTAGCGGTAGCGGCGGCCGTGGAGGTGGCGCTGGGGACTGTTTTCTCTCGGAGGCCGGAGAGGAGCCGCGTCTGACTGAGGCGGGCAGCCAGCGGCCCCCTCGCTCCCTCCCTCCCTCCTCCGCGCCCTCCCCGCCGCCGCCGCCGCCGCCAGCCGCCAACCGCCGCGCCCGGGGAGGAGCCGCGGCCCCCGGGGCCGGAGCCAGGCCTGCGTCCGGACATCAAGCCGGAGCCGGAGCGAGAGCCGGGGCCTCGGCGTCCCCGCCCTCTCCCCGCCTCGGCCAGCGTCCGCCGAGCCCCCGCGTGTCGCGCCATGGACTCGGACGAGGGCTACAACTACGAGTTCGACGAGGACGAGGAGTGCAGCGAGGAGGACAGCGGCGCCGAGGAGGAGGAGGACGAGGACGAAGACGAGCCGGACGATGATAACCTGGATCTGGGCGAGGTGGAGCTGGTGGAGCCGGGGCTGGGCGTCGGCGGGGAGCGGGACGGACTGCTGTGCGGGGAGACGGGCGGTGGCGGCGGCAGCGCTCTGGGGCCCGGCGGCGGCGGCGGCGGCGGCGGCGGCGGCGGCGGGCGGGGCACGAGCAGGAGGAGGATTACCGCTACGAGGTGCTCACGGCCGAGCAGATTCTGCAGCACATGGTGGAATGTATCCGGGAGGTCAACGAGGTCATCCAGGTGAGGGGGCCGCCGCGTCGGATGGCCGGGGCCGGACGGGGAGCGGCTTCGGGCGGCCCCAGCGAGCAGGCCCGGGCCCGGTGCGCAGTTCGGTAGCTACCTCCGGGCCCTGTCCTCTCCCCGCAGCCTCTTGCCGGGGGATGGAGGTGGCGAAAGCCGACGTTCGCCGGCTCGCCGGGGTTGGGAGGTGCGCGGGGGGGGCGGGGCTTCTCGGGGCCGGCGATGGCGGAGGCCTGCGGCCGCCTGATGTTTCTCCAACTGCGGGCGATCCCCGCCGCTCCCTGGGCCCGGTGTCCCTGCCCTGGCCCGAGGATCGCCTGCTGTGGCGGAGCGGAGGAGGGCTGGGTGGGGGGTGTGGGAAGGTTCGGGCCCCTCTCTGGAGGATTGTCCCGGCCTCCACTTCTCCCGAGCAGTTTTGGAAGGGATTAGGGCGGACCTCAGAGCTGCTCGGTGTACGATTGCCCCAAGTGGGCACCAGTTAATAAAGAAATGGATCTCCTTGGCAGTCTGAAGTGCCTACTTAAAGGTGGGGGAAGGGATCTGCTTCTCGGAAGAGGTGCTGGTATCAGGGCCTCCTTTTCCGAGGGTGAGGCTTCTCCTTACATCTTTTTACGCCTTTGCTGTCTGGGACCTAACTGCTGCTGCTTCTGGTCGTGGTCTGTAACTCTCTTGAAGCTGTTGGAATAGTTCCTGCAGCTTGCCTACCGGTCTTTGCGGCTACAGCAGCAACAAAACGCAGTGTTGTCTCATTGGACAAGACTCTATTGTGAGTTAGAGAGCAGAGGCTTTCTGCCTTTGAATTCCTTTTTCTGCAAATTTCAACTTCGTGCTCAGTAAGTTAGGCTTGGTTTAAGTTAATAGCCACACCTCATTTAACCTTGTGCGTCAGATTTTGTATTTTTTGAACTTTAGCAAATAGATTTCCATTTGGGAAAACGTCACAAAGGGTCAGGATATGATTGGAAAATAAAAATGAAGTCTTGATTCAGTCCAGTTTTTAGAGAACACTGGTTACATGGGAGGAAAGTATATACACCAACAGCAAGTTAGTTTGCTTTCTTGCATGTCACTCTGTTTTCTTTTTTCTTTAAAACTTGCTTTGCTTGCCTAGCAAGCACAAGGCCCTGAGTTCCAGCCCATATACAATTATATATATATATCTGTATAGATGTAACAATTGGTTGGCTAAATAGTCTCTGAAAGATTAGCAGCATCTGCCTCCTTGCTGACTTTCCATTATTAACAGATTTTAATAGTATTGTCCCAGACGCAGTTTTGAAAATGGGACCATCTATTTAGGAACTAAGCCGGTGTTTTGAATAATATGAAGAAAATCACACAGTGCTGTTATTAAACAGTGGAAAGGTTATAGAAGTTAGGTAGCTTTTACTGCTCTTTTCTTCATCCAGCAAATGACAGTTGAGTTCTTAGAACGCTAAATTGAGAAATTTTCTTTTTAAGAAAATTGCCATTAGTAAAGAATTTGCAGTAAAACTTTGAATTCCCTTTATTTACAACTGTATGAAATATGATGTTCTCAACTCACTACCTAGTTTACTGGCATTTTAGTTTAGTTTTTAAAGAACTCGTGGAGATTGTTATAACTTTTTGATTGATTTATAAATGAATATTGTCCTACAGCTTAAATCTCATTCAACTTTCTCAGCGCTTAGATTTACCCTAATTACTGAAGCCAAAAACAAGTTCTTCATGTCATTTCTGGAACAGAAATGTAACTAATGTGTATGACATCATTCTTTCTTAGTTTAGGTGAGGGAGAGTAAATGCTGATGAAATGAACTAAGAAAACCTCCAAAAAACTAGGAATTTTAAAAAAAAGGTGTCCTACTTATACCATGCTTCCTTGCCTGATTTGTGAAAAACTATTTTTTCTAGCGTACTTCATTCTAAGTATGTTCTTAAGTAGAATTATTGAACATATAAGTTTATATCCCTTGTTGAAAGTTTATATTTAGAAATACAGTAAAATCAAAGGGTAGGATATATTCCAGACCATTTTTGCCTGAGTGGTGTATTTACCAGGTCTAAAGTAGGCTTATTACATAGGTAATTTGTGCACATTGTGAGAAAAACCTCATGAGAAAAAAAAATTTTTTTAAAGCCGAAATAAGCCCTGCCACCCAAGAGATACACTAGAAAATGAACTGTGGTTCTTTTTTCAGACCTCTGGATAGCTACACATAGTATTTTAAAAACAATTGAATCATGCTATGTTTTTTTTTTTTTTTTTACGGTTTTCAGTGGGGGAAAGGTTACAAAACCAGGACACTGAACAATTTTATCTTGTCAATAAGTAACTATTTTTCAGGAATTTAGTGATTACAGATTATACTAACTTGTCCGATCAATCTGGTATTATTGATCTTTTTATTTTATAGTTTCTGGCTTTTATAAACCTTGAGAATATCCTTACAGGTCAGTCTTTTAAGTGGTTTCTTATTTTCTCAGGATAAGTGGAATTGCAGAGTCAGGAAATTGCTCATCTTCAACTCTTTGATACCCTAGCACATTGCTTTCAGAAAGGTTAAACCAGTTGCCTGATTGGCATAAAGTGGACATTCAAAAGTTGCTTTTTTTAGGCTAGTGAGGTTGAACTTTTAACATTTGTTGGACTTGGTATTTCTTTTGTAAATTACCTTTTGCTTGTTTGTCCATTATGTTCAGTTTTGGAATATTTATCTCTTACTGGTTTGTAAGACCTTTATAGTTATAAGAGGGTTTAAATATCAGTTTTATAGGTTTTTCAATAACAACAAAAAAACCTACTGTTGGTTTAATATGACAAGTAGCCGTTAGCACATGTTCTGTCACTGAGCTACATTCCCAGCCCTCAAAACAGTTTTTATTAAGTTAAAAAAAAAATTAAGTTTTCCTTAGTTTACATTAGAGTGGTTAACTCTAAAAAAAATTTCAAATTACTTCCTCCCCAGTGCTACTTTTCAGTATGAAATAAAATATTTTATTAGTGAATTTGAAGAAAAAAAAGAAATGCAGAAAGATCACCAAGTTAATCTTTTAATGGGAATTTGATTAATTTTTCCAGGAGAGTAGGGATTCCTGCAGGTTAGTTCTGATCTTTTTCTGTTTTACTCCTTTGGTATTGAGACTTGAACCAGAGTTTCGTGCAGGCTAAATACACACTTTTCCACTGAGCTACACCCCCAGCCCTTAGTTCTGGTCTTCAAAGAAGTCAGCACTTAATCTTTTAGAAAACCTCCTGTTTTCTGTAACTCCCTGGTTGATAAATTTAGTTTTTTTTTTTTTTTTAATCATCTGTGGCAATCTAGCTTACCTTTTGAGCTTTTAAGAAAAGTCAGGAATTTTGTTTAGCTTTAACTTATGCCAGTGATAGAGAAGTGCTTAACACCCTTAACTTGATGAACGGTATTCACTTAACTAGTATTGCTAATACTAAAGTGTTTCCTGAACTGATGGTACAGCTCAGTAGCAGAGCACTTGGCTAGCATGCTCAAGGCCCTTGGCTCATGCCCCACTACTATCAAAGCAAGTGATTTCTTGATGTCACTGCTTAAATAGGTAGGTAATTTGTTAAGCTAACCATTTGTTAAGCGCGCACACACACACACACACACACACACACACACACACAAACGGGAATGTTTAAATTTACCATTTTTGTATTGCCACAACAATGTTTAGCAAATGTTAATTGTGCCTTATCTAGATTGTGCCTTCTGTGTTAAAATAGAAACACAGAAAAACTTAGATTTTTGCCTAAGGAGTATTTTAGACAGGCCATGGGTCCTGGGGCTCTATTTCAAAAGATTCTTACTCACTTGTTGAGTCTGAGGTGAAGCTTGAGCATCTGTTTATTTTAGCTACTTTGGTGATAGTTCTGAACCACTGGAATATGGTCGTTCACCACTATGATGATGTTGACTCAGGAGAGTCGAGTGAGATAGCACCAGCCCTTAGAAGTGCTACATTTAAAGAGTGTGCTGAGGAAGAGAGGAATGTGGCTGGATGTGAATGGTCAGAGAGGCTATCAAGAGAAGTGGGTGTGCATTTTGCTTTGTTAGATTATCCTAAATAACCTATTTGAAAGAATAGAAGCATTCAACCCTTACTAAGAAAGTTTGTTGGCTGTTGATTTAAAATCTTTAATTTTATATTGCCTGTTTAAACAAGGTTAAAAGCATAAATTAAGGGTGGCAGTGTATTTTGGTGTACTGGCTGGGAGTCACTTCTTTTTTGTTTTTCTTTTTGGGAGTCACTTCTGGCCTTGGATTTTCCTCTAACTGGCAAGTTAGTTACATCTCAGAACCTTCAGGGTTTGTTTTGTTTTTCTGGGAGGTGAAAACAGTTGAACATTAGATTAGTTTTTAATTTTTTTTTTAAATTTAGCATTCTTTTCGAAACCTCAGTTACTTGGAAATGCTCATTGTTTTACAAGAAATTAAATTTAAATGCATATCAAGTAAATTTTATTTATTTCGTGTGTGTATGTAAGCATAAGCAATTAAGGTGTTTAGTATGGTTTTAGAGTTATTCTTCTTTGAACTTTTTTCTTTTCCCAGCTAATCTTCTTGAGCTATAAATTTTAAATTATATCAAGACTCTTAATTGGTTATAGCAGTAGTCTGTGAATCTAACTGGGGGTGGGGTTCAGCTGTATGGTTTTGGTGATGCTAGCTAAAGTCTGAGAATCATTTACCTAGTTGAAATTTAGCATCAGTATTTCTCCATGTGTTATGTCTGTTGTTAAATTACTACGGAGATGGGGACTGATGGAAGATAAGTTTAAGAAAGGAAAATATCCCAAGCATGGATAGCATTTAGTAGATTCCCCTACTGTCCAACTGTTATAGGGTTGGAAGGAATTTGTTATTGTTGCTATTCTTTGGATAAAATAGTCTTTTCTCAGTCATTTCAAATGTGCAAACCAAACTATCAGTATCTTAACATTCAGGATAGGAGCACTTGGTTTTTCTTTTGCTCCCCTTCCCAATGGATTTTTA